CGGAGCGGATGTGCCGCCGGCGCTGAAGTAGCATATGCCGCGCAGAATGTCGCGCCGAGCAATTGTTGTTTCGTGGAAGCCGCGAACGCGCCGAGGAGACAAATGCCTCGGCGCGCTTCACCCTTGCCCCTCGCCAGCAGCGCGGAATCTCGCGATGGTGCTATCCTGCCGCGTGCGCGCAACGGACAGCAGAGCGTGCGCGGCGTGCCCGATCGACGCGCACCAGGGCAGCGGCTGCGAGCGCGTCCGCATGGCCCTCGGGCCCTACGGGCCCGAGCCGCGAGCCTTCTTCGCCGGTCGCGGGGGCGCGCTCGGCTTCCGGCTGTTGTCGCCCCACCCCCAGTTGCCCCCCTGGGGGCGTTTCCAGGCGCCGCGATCGCTCGAGGAGCTACACTTGTGGGCGGCCTTCCAGCCGCCCTTGCCCGCGCCCTCGTGGCTGGGCGCGGCTGTGCCAGCCGCCTTGCCGGAGGCCTCCGCCTTGCCACTGGGCGCCTTGTCGGATTCGGCGCTGCCGTATATCCCTTCTGCGGCGCTGAGCAGCGCGCGATCCACTTTGCAGATCGCCCTGCGCCAGTTGAACTCTGGGCCCCCCGCGACCGTTCTCTCTGCCCAGCTCTTGCGGGCGACCTCGTCGACAAATCAAGCGAGATTTGCGCGCCGTTTTTGTCTCCTGAAAGAGGGCGCGCGAGCGCGGCGCGCGCGCTGGCGCGCTTGCAGCGAGCCTGGGCCCGGCAGGCCACCGCCATAATCACTTCCTGGTGCCGCAGGACCGCGCGCGGTGGAAGCTGGCCGAGCGCCGCAGCAGCCACCTTGCACCTGCGAGCGCCCGACGACGCGGCGACGGCTAATGATTGCGGTGCGACGCGACGCCTCTGCCACGCAATGGCCCAGCTCGCGATGAACATTCCCTTCCGGGGGTCGCTCGTCGGAGCGGCCCCGAGCACGCGGGCGAGGTCCCTGACCTCCTTGGACGCCTCGGGCCGGTCGTCAGCGCCGCGCGCGTAGCCCGGGACCACCCAGGCTGAAAACCATTTCTTCTTGTCTGTGAATACGGAAGGATTCTTGATCTCGCGTTTTTCAAGCTTCCCCACCTCGGAGGCGAGCCAGTCAGCCATCTCACAGCTGACGCGTCACGCGGGCCGCGCGCGAGGCGCGCCGATTCGGCGGGCGCCTGGGCCAGAAGGACTGCGGCAGCCCGTTGAGCGCCGGTTGCTTAACAATTGCTTCCGCCAGGTTAACGCGCGCGATGGCCCAGCGCACCGCGCGCCAAAGCGCGGGCGCGCGCCTGACGCGACGCCTTGCCTCCGAGGGCGCACTGGCGCTGGGCCTCATCACCTGCGCCTCTGCAATGCATTTGATCAAGAACACCCTTTCCCGGCCGCAATTGCCGCGCCGGCGTCAAAGTGCACCGGCTTTGCCTGGGCTAGGACCTCAACAGACCCGATATCTTGCCGTTTGCAGATTTGCGCTACCCCGAGCGACCCGCCCCCAACGCGCTCCACGCCGGCGCCAGCGAGGAGATCGCGCGCCGAGGACATCGCGGCAGGACAGCACAAAACGGCGCATGTCATATGCGACTTTGCTAAGGCGCGTCTCTCTGCGGCGCGGCTGAATCCGCGGGGGCGCGCGACGCCGCGGCGGGCGACGAAGTGCGCGCGCGCAAATTACAGGATGCTTTGCGGCCCCTGCGCCGGCGTCGGCCAGCGATGGGCCGCGGCGGGGCGGCAAAGGCCCATGCGACAGAGCCCCGCCGTAGGCCCGAGGCGGAGACACAGCGGATGGGACACTACATGGCCCAACTGTCCGCACTGGCCACTTGTGGGCCGCGGCGAAGGCAAACGAGCCCATGCCACAGAGGCCAATAATACTCTTGGGGCAGATCGAGCACAGACGGGGCGCAGCACGGCCCGCCAGTCCCCCTTGGCCCGCGGTAGGCCGCGGGGAGGGCGAAAGAACCCTTTTGCCAGTGGCCAATAGTAAGCTTGAGGCGGGTCAAGTACAGACGTGACACTGCACGGTCCGCCAGCCCCCTTTTCGGCCAATAGTGGGCCGCGGGGAGGGCGGAAGAGCCCCTGCCACAGAGGCCATCAATAGGCTGAAGGCTGAACGAGCGCAGACGGGACACTGCATGGCCCGTCTGTTCCCATGTTGGCAAATGGTAGGCCGCGGGGAGGGCGAGAGAGAGAGCCCGCGCCTCAGAGGGCAGTGGTAGGCTTGAGGCAGATTCATCACGACGGGACACTATATGGTCCGTCACGCGCACTGGCCAATAGTAGACCGCGGCGCGGGCAAAGGAGCCCTTGCCACAGAGGCCAGTAGTAGGCTCGAGGCTGATCGGGCTCAGACGAGAAACTGCATGGCCCGCCTGCCCCCCCTGGCCAGTAGGGGGCCGCGGGGAGGGCGAAAGAGCCCATGCCTCAGAGGCCAGTGGTAAGCTTGAGGCGGAATGACCCTGACTGGACACAGAATGGCCCCCCCTTCCTCTATGGCCGGCGGTAGGCCCGCGCGATGACCGCGAGGAAGAGGGGGTCCGCGACCCCTTTTGTTGGAAACTGCGAGCGCGCGCCCCAGCGCTCCAGTTTGCCCCCGCGCCCAAGCGCTGCGCGCGCCGCGCGCCCGCGCCCGGCGGCGCAGAGGCCCCTGGCCAGGCCGAAAGGTGGCGCCCTCCCACTCTCATGGCGACATAGCCCGCTTGCGAATCTGTATCAGGCGGATGCTAGCAATGGGCACTTTAGCGAAGCCCATGATTTGGCGGCGAACATCGAGAGGTAGACCGGGCGCTGCTTGGTCCAGGGCGAACCGCGCGTTCGCCCTGACCACCTCCAGCTTGCCTTGCCTTCGGTCGCGCCACTCGTCCAGAGGCGGCGCGGGCGTGACCGGGGGCGGGCCCCTGGGCGCGGGTCACTTGGGGCCCGCCCCCTTGGTCAGCAGGCGCGCCAGTTTGTCCCGCGCCTGCGCAGAGCGCGCGGCCGCTGTCGCGCCGCGCGTGAATGCCGCCGCGCGCGCCTTCAGGCCACGACCGGGCTTGCCCGCCGCTGAAGAGGGCCCGGAATCGCGAAGTATACATATATATATATATATAGATATTGGGGGGTCGGCGGGGCGAGAGCGAACCTCCTCCGCGAAAAGCTAGGCGGGCTACGCGCAGCTCTAGTTAGGGAGACAGGGCACAGGCGGGCGGGGCCTCAGGCGGCCGGAAAGGGCGGGGCCCGGGGTCAGACTCGCGAGACATGACAACGCAGAAACGCAGCGAAGCCGCGACCGCGAAGCGCGCAGCGAACACTTGGCACGTGGCACGCGAGTTGTAGCGCTGCGCACAAGCGGCGGTCGCGGCCGCTCTCGCGCGCGAGCGAGCAGCGCTGGGCAGGTGCACGGACCCCCAAGGGGGCAGGCCCCCAGAAACAAGACTGCAGCGGGCCTGCCCGTCCTGCAGATAATCGCGGTCGCCTGCGCGGCGCCGCGGCGCGCGCTCGCCCCCGTCGGGCCGCGCGCGCACCTGCGACGAAAGCCTGCGCAGCGAGGGCACGCGCGCGCGCGGACCTGCCCCACGCGCGCGCGCGCGCCTGCCAAGCGATCCGCGCACGCTTGCAGGACGCGCACCGCGCGCGCGCCTGCTGGCTGCGCGCGGCCTCCCGCTGCACCCCCCCAAGGATTGTCCCCACGAACAAGGCAAGCTTGTGCGTCCACCACGCGGAAAGAAAAGGGCGCGGCCAGCGAGGGCAACCGCGCTGGACAGGGAGATCAACAATAATCCGCCGACCCCTTGTGGGTCTCTAGGCGCGTGAGATTTCCCCCCTAATAATTCCCCCCTGGGACCCCAAACCGGCAATTCGACCCCCCCTTTGCCCGGCGCGACCCACCGCCGAAGGCGCAATGGAGGAACAGAGGGCCCAAAACGAGCCAAGAGGGCACCAACACGCCTCCATGACCGTCCAAGAGGGCGACGAGTCGCCGAAATGTCCTTCCAATATGCCCACGATGGCTACCAGACAGCCTCCGAAGCCCCCAAGACCCAAAAGGCCCCCAAGAGGCGCCCCAAGCGAACCCCAAGAAGCAGAAATCGTCCCAGTCCCTTCGTAAAACGTTCGTTCTTACCGGATTGGCCTCTAGCGGTCTCGCAACGTCCGACACGGGCCGTGAAACATTCCATATCATCCCAGGGCGGCCTCGGCAACTGCCGAAAGAGGTCCAAGAGGGCCCAAAGACGGCCCAAGCAGCGCTCAAAACGGCGCAGGGCCTCCAGACGGCGCCAATAGGGAGCCGGGAGGGCTACGTTTTGGTATTTTGGCTCCGAAATACCCTCCTCCTGCTGCAAGAGCCTCAGGGAGCCCCAAGCGACGCCCAAAAGGCTCCCAACAGGCTCCCAGACAACCGCCAAGAGGCCCGCCAATGCACTACCTCCAAGACGTCCCCGTGACGCCTCAAGACCAGATCGTGACTCCTCCTCCTCCTCCTCCTCCTCCTCCTCCTCCTCCTCCTCCTCCTCCTCCTCCTCCTCCTCCTCCTCCTCCTCCTCCGCTTTCACCATCTTTGCGTTCCTCTTTTCATCGGTTTCGTCCTCCCTCTCGCTCGCACCCCCGCTGTTCCTACTTCTACGGGCCATGGCACGAGCGCCCTACTGGTATCATGTGCTCGCCTTGCATTTCAAGGTGCCCTTCTTCTCGACACGCGAGACATGGCTCGCGTCCACGGAGAAAGCCGACTTCGGCAATTTTCTCTGGTACTTGCCGCTGCACTGAAAAGCCTGCTAACTGCGCAACGTAAATCCTCCAAACACCGAAAAGCACCATCAAAATCTTGAACTCAGTTCAGGGGTCGGCGGATGTGGCGTAAGCCTATAGAGTCACTACGCAGAGAAATGCGAGATTAACAATAACCGAAAAACGCGAAAACAACAGAACGCTCAAAAACCTCTATCCTGCTCGTCCTCCTCCTCCACCACCTCCCCCTCCTCCTGGCAGCGAAAGCTGAAGCAGCCAAGCGGGTACATCGGAGAGGACCTGCGTACGCGCCAATGCACGAGCACGTCGTCAAGCTCATCGGCCCTCTCCTGGCAGCGCCCACCAGCGTTGTCGCGGCGGGAGGGGGGGGGGCGGGGCGAAGAGCGAAGTGCGAAGTCCTCCTCCTTTCCCCTACATCCTACTCCTCCTCCGCCTCCTCCTCGTCCTTTTCAGATTCCTCCTCCCTATTCCTCCTCCTCCTTCTCCGTTCCTTTTCCTCATGAGTAACTCTTCCTGTCGCGCCCGGAGGCCGGTCGAAAGGGCGGGCCGGGCGTTTCGCCCTCGACTTCCTCATCATTTATGACCCTGGAACTTCAAAAATTGGCAACCGCTTCACAGATGGAGGGCGGGGGTTTTCAAAATGTAGTTCTCGTCTTAGCGCCGCGCACATCTAGCTTACAACGTTGCCAGAGCTTCACACATGGAAGGCGGGTGGTTTTCAAAATATGGCTATCGCCTTAGCGCCGCGTGCATTCGTCTTAAAAAGTGGCGACAGCTTCACAGATGGAGGGCGGGGTTTTTCAACATGTAGTTCTCGTCTTAGCGCCGCGCACATCTAGCTCACAACGTTGCCAGAGCTTCACGAATGGAGGGAGGGTGGTTTTCAAAATGTGGCTATCACCTTAGCGCCGCGCGCATTCGTCTTAAAAAGTTGCAACAGTTTCACGGATGGGAGGCGGGTGGTTTTCAAAATTTGGCTCTGGACTCTGAGGCGCCGCGCACATCCATCTGTAAAAGTTGCAAGAGCTTCATGGATGGAGGGCGGGGGTGTTCAAAATGTGGCTCTGGCCTGAGGCGCCGCGCACACTCGTCCGCTTTCAATTTGCAAATCTCGCCATAGTGTCGCGCACATTCGTCTTGAAAGGCTGCACGATGTTCACTGATGATCAACATACCAAGAATTGCGTTCGGGAGCAATTCCAGATGGTCAGAGCGGAACGGTTACGTTGAATCGCGATGTTGAAGTCCCCGGAATGGTGTTTGGGCACGCTTCAGGGTCTTCAAACCGTTGTCTCCCAACGGGGCACTATGAGTGAAAATGTATTCCTTCAAAAGGCCTACGAAGAGGGAGCTTGAAAGGAGGGTTTATTCCAACATGGTTGATGCGTCTTAGGCTTACACTGGTCCTCCTCCTCCTCCGCCTCCTCCTCCTCCTCCCGTCCTCTCCTCCTCCTCCTGCTTCTCCTCCTCCTCATCCTCCTCATCCTCCTCCATCTCGTCCTCCGCCTCCCCCTCCAGGTCATCATCAGCAGCATCAATCATCACCACCACCACCAAAATCATGACCAGCATCATCAGCAGCATCATCAGCAGCAGCATCATCATCATTAGCAGCAGCACCAGCAGCAGCAACATCATCACAATCACCACCACCACCCTCATCATCATCAGCAGCATCATCATCATCGTCATCATCATCAGCAGCAGCATCATCATCATCCTCATCATCATCCTCATCATCATCATTAGCATCATCAGCAGTATCATCATCAACATCGGCATCATCATCGCCATCGCTATCGTCATCGACATCATCAACAGCACCATGATCAGCAGCATAATCATCATCACCGACATCGTCACCCCCATCAACTTAATCGTCGTCGTTACCATCCTCGTCGTCATCATCATGATCAGCATCGTCGTCATCATGAGCATCATCAGCAGCAGTAACATCAGCAGCATAGTTGTAACCATGAGCATCAACACTTTCATCAACATGATCATCACCATCACCATCATCAACATCAGCATTGCCATCATCATCATCATCAGCATCATCAACATCAGTATCCTCGTCATCGTCATCATCAGCAGTATCATCACCATCATCGTCATCATCGTCATCATTATCATCGTAAGCATCATCGCCATCGTCGTCATAGCTGTCATCGCCATCGACATCATCAGAATCAGCATCCTCATCATCATCATCATCATCATCATCATCATCATCATCATCATCATCATCAGCAACATCATCAGCAGCAGCATCCTCGTCATCACCACCACCACCACCACCACCATTGCCAGCACCATCACAAGTCGCACCCCGTCCTACTCATGATCCGCATCATCATGATCATCGTCGTCTTCATGAGCATCATCAGCATCATTAGCATCAGCATCATCATCATCACCATCAGCATCAGCATCATGATCATCAGCATCATCATCATCATCGTCGTCGTAGTCGTCGTCGTCGGACTCCTCCTCCTCCTGCTCCTCATCACCATCATCGCCTTCGTCATAATCAGCGTCAGCGTCATCGTCGTCGTCCACATCATCGTGATTGTCGTCGTCGTTCTCATCAGACTCATCAATACCACCGTCGTCATCGTAATCAACATCGTCGTCGTCGTCCTCCTCCTCATCATCATCGTCGTCATCACCGTTTCTTCATCAGAGTCATCATCGTCGTCGACGTGGCCGTCATCATCAGCATCATTAGCAGCATCATCAATATCACCACCACCGTCACCACCAGCATCATCATCGT